TCTCAGAGAATGGGCTGAGGTCTCCCAGGAGGCCAAATGCCCTCCCACCGAGAGCAGCTCCCACTGGTGACTTCAAATTCCAGGACTGGACCCATGCCCCGGCCTCCCACTGTGGAAGATGAGGCCGCCAGCACCCTAAGACCCTCTGGCAGCCATCACTCCTTCTAGAATTCACACCATTTCTGGCTCATGACCGAGTCTGCCCTATAACCTATGACCTGTGTCTGGTCATGTGTCACTTTGTCAGCAGATGGGCTGTAAACTGTCAATAGTGGCTGGATGACACGCACGGCACCTGTGATCAGCCAACAGTCAGCAGCGCACAAGAAAGACACATGTCCAAGGTCACCGGGAAATGTGGACATTTTGGCAGTGAGGGTCCCAGACACAGGAAGTGTGGGGGCAGGGGCCGAGGAGGGAACTTGGGTATGGAATGAGGAAGGCAGGAACTTAGATGATGGCTGTGAAGAAGGCAGGACAGGAGCAGGTGCCACACAAGGAGCGACAGCTCTACCTCTGGGCCACAGCGGTGAAATGAGCACGTGACCACGGACCAGAACACTTCAACGCTCATAGAAGACGCTGCTCAAAGGTCAGCTTACTGTGATGCAAAAAGCTTGAAATCCATGGACCGTATTTTCCTGAGACTTCCTTTTGTGCAGGGAAATATCAAATTAACATAAACAGATTCCATTGTAGTTCATGGGCAACAACATATTCATTGCTTTAATAATAGGCATAGTTAATTTTTTTGAAGATCTCATGTATGCGTGGATTTCAAGATAAGCTTGCGTTTAAACTCCATTTCCGCAGCTTCTGAAGCAGCCTTGCATAGCCATGAGCCACAGGGACCAGTACACTGTCCTGGCCACCATGGGTGCTGACTATTGTAACTTACAGGAGGCCAGGAAGTTAGGGACTGTCAAGAGTTTTCCTAGCTCACAGGGAAATTGGCCCAAGGCCACCCAGGGAAGAAGTGACAGAAGCAAGTTGTGTAGGCAGGTGGTCTGGATCCAGAACTCAAGTTCTACAGGCCAGTGGGCAGACCTTGGCCCAAAGGGTACCCACAGTCGGCAGAACAGAGTCCCATGAAATTGCTCCTACTCTAAGGCTAGATCCCCTCCCAGCCACGAGGCCACATACACAACAGGTGGGGGGTAAACAACCAAGGCTCATGCGGGACACCAGCTTCCCAGGCAGTGTCCTATCACACGCCACCATTCGTGTCCCCAGACACTGCCCTGGCACACAGCATGGCAGTATTTGCCCTCTCTGAACCCAAACCCTCCAGTGATGGTACAGGTGGCAATCCCTGGAAGAAGGGGTGCAAAGAAAGTATGGCCAAGCAGTTGCAACAGAGTAACTGAGCATTGCTGTAGAACTCCTAAGTGGGGGTCTCCTCACCCCCCACGCACAGAAAAGCCAATTCCTCTTTCTCTGAGGAATCGGGAATGTAGATTCCTCTTGACTGAGGTCTGGGCTAAGAGGGCCATGTGATGAGCTCACGTCCAAGTTCCTGGCTGGTCTGTGGAACTCATGCCCTTCCTGTGATGGTCAGTGATGCTGTGCTCTTCAGGGAGTTGGTGGTAATCAGGTGCACTCCAGCTAATCCGGCAGTTACATGAAAATGGCAGGCCCAGTGCCATAGCCTAGTGGCTAAAGTCCTTGCCTTGCACATGCCAAGATCTCATATGGGCACCGGTTCTAATCCCCATGGCCCCACTTCCCATCCGGCTCTCTTTTTGTGGTCTGGGAAAGCAGTCAAGGACGGCCCAAAGCCTTGGGACCCTGCACCCATGTGGGAGACCCGGAGGATCTGGGCTCCTGGCTTCAGATCGGCTTGGCTCCAGCCATTGCAGCCACTTGGGGAGCAAATCAACTGATGGAAGATCATCCTCTCTGTCTCCCTCTTTGTACATCTGACTTTCCAATAAGAAGAAATAAATCTTTAAAGACAAACAGTCAATCTTTAAAAAAAAAAATGGCAGTGACTTTTGCCTGGACCTGGGATTCCCCCAGAAGAACCCCTCCAGATTTTACGTCAAGGTTCCTCTCTCCTGGAGAAGCAGCCAGCTCCTGAGTCCTGTGGTTAGAGCCCTACAGGGCAGATGTGTTACTCCCTCACCTTGTAAAGGACTTCCCATCCAGCTCCTGCTCAAGTGCCTGGAAAAGTAGATGATGATGCTCCAAGTCCTTGGGATCCTGCACCCACATGGGAGACCTGGAAGAAGCCCCTGGCTCCTGGCTTCAGATTGACTCAGCTCTGGCCATTGCAGCCACTTGGGAAGTGAATCAGTGAAAGGAAGATCTTCCTCTCTGTCTCTCCTCTCTGTTATCTGACTTTCAAAAAAAACTTTTTTGAAGTTATAAGTACTTTATATTCATTGGCCAGGTATTTGCCAAGCAGCGAGGGTGTGCCAGGCTCCGGGATGTCTATGCAAACAGCACCGTCTCCACCACGGAGGCAGCTATGTGTGATTGCTCAGGTGATTATTGTTTTGGAGGCCTGTGCTATGGCCTACCAGACTAAACCTCCACCTGTGGAGCTGACGTCAAATGGGCACTGGTTCAAGTCCCAGCTGTTCCACTTCCAATCCAGCTCCCTGCGAATGCTCTTGGGAGGGGAATGGAGAAGAGTCAGGGTCCTTGAGCCCCTCCACATGTGCAGGAGGTCAGGAGGAGGCTCCTGGATCCTGGCTGCATACCGGCCCAGCTCTGGCTCTTGGGGTCACTTGGGGAGTGAACCAGTGGATGGAAAATCTGTCTCTCCTTCTCTGTGTAACTCTGCCTTTCAAATAAAAACATCTTACATTTTTTTGTAATTGCATTATCATTTCACGTGTTTCACATCCAGGGACTCAGTGACTGCTTATCCACAAGCAGTAGCACCCGGACTAATACTCATGCCCAATCTAGGCAGGTATTTTAAAAAATGATTTGAAAGGCACAGCAACAGAGGGGTGGAGGAAGGAGAGGGAATAAAAAAGTTCTTTGAAGACACCTGAAGCAGCCAGCTAGGGGCCAGACTGAAGCCCAGAGCCAGGCACTCCATCGGGACCTCCCACCTGGGTGGCAAGTACAAGCGCCTTAGCACTGCAGCCAGCACCACTGCCTCCCAAAGCGCCAGGGCAGGGAGCAGGAAGTGGGTGGAGAGGGAGCCAGAACTCCAACAAGGGGCATCAGAACCCGAGCAGAGGCTCACCCTCCGACCCAATGCCCACCGCCCCTCTGTGGTTTCCGGCGCCTGCGTTCAAGTCCAGTGGTTTGCATTTCATGTCTGTGGGCAAGTTACCTGTCGGAGCTGGGTTCTCCTTAAGGTAAAGCAGAAGACCCTAACTCGGGATATTCCACCAGGGGGAACAGCTTAGGAAGCGCAAGCGGCAAATTTCCCCAGGAAGGAAGTCAAGATTTTAAACCTTTGGGGGTGAGGGGGAGACCGGAGGTGCACAGCGAACGAACAGCCTGGGTCCACGCTCTCTGCGCCAAGTCGGAGATGGAAAAATGTACCAGGATAAGTGCCGGATACAAGGTGCGGTTTACAAGCCGCCGGGGAGGACAGCAGGGGGGCTGCCCACTCACTCCGTGAGTGTGTTCCTCTGAAACTTTTTTTTAACACTCGTGGGTCCGGCAGCGACTTCAGCTGGACTCGGGCCCCCACCTCGCCTGCCCATTCTGGGATGCGAGGGGTGGGGGGCCAAGGGATGACGACCCTGCATTCGCCTTTCCCCGCCCATTCGCTCCCGGCTCCCGCGCAGAGGTGCCCTGCGTGGACGGACACGCCCCGCCGGGTAGCCCTCTTCTTCCCCTTTCCTCTACAACTCAGGGAGTCAAGGTGTTCCCCCCAGGGAGTCTCGGGTCCCGGCGAACCGCCCTCACCTCTCAGCCTGCGGCTGTGTCCATTGCTACTAGGCGGGCGGTGTTGGCGACCCAGGTGGTGGAGCAGCTCCACGGGAGGCGCGCTCTGGTCGGGGAGCGGAGCCGGACTTCCTTTCCCGGAGGACCGATCACTTTCTTCTTGGAGTTGAGCCGGGTCCCCGCATTTGCGCTTTTGGCGCCCGGGACCTCTCTCTATTCAGTACCGTGCCCCTGACTCCTTTTTTTCCTCCTAGCACCCCTCCCTCACCCCTAGCTCAACGCCCCCTCCCTCCAGATGCCATGCCTCTCTGCGTGCTGCGGGCGCGCAGGGAGGAGCTAGAAGGTCCCCCGGAATGCTGCGCTCCCGCAAAAACCTTGGCCAGCAGCCACATCATCTAATCCCAAGGAAATAAATAGATAGTCTGGCAATGGTAGTGAATCATAAAGGAAATGCAAACAAAACCCTGGGGAAGTGCCTGGCGTTTGCCCTGGGGCTCTGGCCTGCCAATTTCCTGTTGATAGGGACCCTGGGAGCCAGCCTTGTGACTCCAAGAGCTGTGTTCTTGGGCACTCACCTCAGTAAACTACTGTGAGCTCCTGGCTCCAGCCATTTGAGAAGTGACCCAATTCTCTCTCTCTCTCTCTCTCTCTCTCTCTCTCTCTCTCTCTCTCTCTCTCTCTCTCTCTCTAACAGGTGTATGCAGTTGAGCCAGCCGTGCCTACGCAGGGTTGCTGCAGAGATGCAAATTCCTTGCAGCTGTCCTGGAAAATGGCCTAGTCTTTTCCCAAGACGTTAAAAGCAGGTGGCCAGGGTGCAGCTAGTTCAGATAACAGCTTGCAGGGCCCACCTCCTTTACCCAGAGTGCAGGTTTGAGCCCCAGCTGCTGGATTCTGCTCCAGCTCCCTGCTAACACACCTGTGAAGGTGGCAGAGCGTCACCCCCAGGCCCTGGGTTCCAGCAGCCTGCGTCATAGAGGAAGCAGTTGACCACCAACTCTGCCTTTCAATTAAATCAATCTTTTCTCAAAATTTAAAACAGAACTGTCATGAGCTCCAGCAATCCCACCTCTATGAAACGGCCCCAAAATGTTCCAAGCAGGAGCTCAAAATAATCTTTGCACATGCCATGTTCATTGCAGCATGCTTCAGAGCCACGGGTTGGACGTGGGCCACGTGCTTGCTAACAGGTGAGATGAGAAACCGTGCATTAAAGTGCACAATGAAATCTCTTGCCCTGCTGCGGGAGGAGAACTCGCTGCAGCTGACCGCACCGTGGATGAGCCCAGAGGGACACAGAAGGACAGACGCGCTGCAGTTCTGCTCGTGAGGTAGGCTAACAGTCCAACAGAAATAAACAAGGGTTGCGAAGGGCTTGGGCGAGGGCAAAAGCTAGCCCCAGAGCCTGCCAGGGAGATGCCGTAGGGCAGTGTGAACACACAGCACGGCACCAAGCCGAGCACCGAGAAGATGCAGAATGATCTGTGTTCTTCTGTGATTTTTAAAATGTGCAGACATCAGCATGATTGTGGTGATTACACAACCAAAGGGCCCAGTCGGTGGCCTGCCTGCCGGGCGAGGAGGCTTCCTTAAGCCTCAACACCTGAATCACAGTTAAAACAGAGCAGGAGGGGAGGCAAGCAGTTGTGGCGGCGGATCATGTGCCAATTCTGACATTTTAACAATTATTTGAGGTTCATTCCTCAGATACACACGCAGCTGATGTGGGGCTGGCCCAAACCAGGAACTCAATGTGGAGCTCCCAAGCGGCTGGCAGGGACCCAGCCTTCCCCTGCTGCCTCCCTGGGTGTAGTTGCAAGAACTTGGGAGCAGAACCAGGCAGGAATCCTGGCATTTGGATATGGCATACGAGCATCCCAAGCAGCTTCTGACTGCTGTTTAAAATCAAGCACCTGCTCCCGAGTTTAACTTACAGGGTGCAGGTCTCTGCTCAGCTGATCAACTTTACCAGCAGAATCACTGTTGATGAGCTAACAGCCAGCGTGGACTGAAAAACAATTCATTACTTAGCTACTTTGTTACACTGTTCTTGGCTGCAGGATTCTGAAGCTGGACTGCTCCGGTTTGGGTTTTAGCTCTGTTATCTGCTTCCCAGCTTCCTGACTTGGGGCAGATCACTTTCTCTACCTCAGTTTTCTCACCTGTCTAATGGGGCAATCTGGGACCTGCCACACACCAGCCTGTTGTAAGGACCTAATGTGAGGCAAACCTAGGGGGGCAGATGTTGGGTGCAGCAATTAGGACACCCCCCCCCCCCAAAGCCTGCATTCTGTATCAGAGTGCCTGAGTTCAAGTCCCAATTACTCTGCCTCTGATCTAGGTTCCCGATCCTGGCCACCTTACAGGGTGGCGAAAGCTGAAGGCTCAAGGTCCTGCCACCCAGGTGGGGTCCTGGGAGCCTGGCATCTGGGGATTGAAGCCGGGCACAGAAGCTAACTCCAAGCAGGTTCACACTCACCCTGGACATTGTGCACATAGCCAGTGGAGCCACTTTTGTCCAGCCCCTCTCCTCCAAGTAGACAGGGAGAGACCAGGGAGGGGGTGTCAGGAGCGACACCCGATCCTAGCACCTGCTTGCTGATGGCTCCGTGGGAACAACACCCGTGCACAAAGACCACCATGGCACCCATCGGCTGTCTGTTTAATCTTGACTGAGTCCACCTTGGGATTGAGGCTTGTAGCCAAGCCTGAGTGTTCCAGAACAAACCTAGGTGATGCTTCCCCACCCCCACTCCCTGTTTGACCATCAGATGTTTCCTAGGACAGCTCCCACTGAGGCACAGAGGCTGAGGGGTCTGCACAGACAGATGGGAGCTTGCGCCCGCCACTTCCTAGTGGGGTGGCTTTGGAACAGTTGCCATTCCTTCACTCCACAAGTATGGAGGAAAACAGCCTCTCCCTTCCTAAGCTGGATTTGAGCCCTGAAGGAGTTGCGATCTGGGACTGTGATCTGCTGGTTTAAAAAACTGTTGTTTTAAAGAGAAACCTGTTCCTCTGGGAGCAGTCATTTTCTGAGTGACCCTCTGGTCGGCCCCAATGTCTTGAGCTAAGCCAATGAAGGGGCAGGATGGAAGGGATGGTACCATCTGATTTCCAGGGAAGAATGGCTGTGAAAAACCCACAGCAACCACCACCAGGCAGGATCCCCGGAGGCAGCGCGAGCCGCGGCCACCCTCCGGAGCCCTCATTAGAGATTGCGGCGTCTCCTGGGACAGCCGCGTTTACCCAAGGAGAGACTGTAAGCACAAACTGAGCTATGAACACAAACTGCTCCTGGGCGCCTGCAGCGCGCTCTCCGGGGCAGCAAACCACTGCGGCGCGCTTGCGCCATCTTGTGGGCGTCTCCGAGACCTTGCCTGCCCGCGATCAAAGCCCATCCAGATGTTGAACCCAACCAGCTCTCTGTCTCTTAACCACCTCCTTTCTGTAATTAGCAGGTTGCAACTTGTCACACTCAGACATGTGCCTGTGCACAGACACACAGATACAGTCATGGGATTGTAGCAAATATATATTTGTAAGATGGGGGAGACAGCCATGGGGCACAGGGAAACCGGGAGCAGAGAGAGAACAAAGTGAAGAGGCATCTTTTATAGCCTTGGGTGGGTACGGGCAGTGTGGGGTCAGGGACTGGCAGGTGTGGCTCTAGTGGACACCAGGGATAAATGCCTCAGTGTCAACCTAAGGTCCCTAAGCTTATTTAGTCAGGTGGGCCTTAAGGTGACCCAGACCTAGGGGGTTTATGGCAGTGCTGGGTGGACAGATGTTCAGGCTATCCAAGGTGGCTCTGGGTCCAGGATGGCAGGGTCAGTCTTGGGGCTGCTGTTGCAGTCTCTAGTTCAGAGTCCCAGCTCCATTTCCCATCAAAGTTCTGCGAATGCACACCCTGGGAGGCAGCCAGGGATGATGCCAGTACTTAAGGTCCTATGACCCACATGGGGGAGACCTGGGTTGAGTCCAGGCTCGTGGCTTCAGCCTGACCGAGCTCTGGCTGTTGTAGACCTTCAAAGAATGACCAGTAGATGCAAGATCTCTGATAAGAACAGATGCTACGTGGTCTAGCAGCTAAAGTCCTTGCCTTGAACACCCGGAATCCCATATGGGCCCCGGTTCTAATCCCAGCAGCTCCACTTCACATCCAGCTCCCTGCTTGTGGCTTGGGAAGGCAGTCGAGGATGGCCCAACCTTGGGAACCTGCACCCGCGTGGGATACCCGGAAGAATATCCTGGATCCTGGCTTCGGATCAGCATAGCATCGGCCGTTGTGCTCACTTGGGGAGTGAATCATGGGACGGGAGACCTTCCTCTCTGTCTCTCCTCCTCTCTGTATATCTGACTTTCCAATAAATAAATAAATAAATCTTAAAAAAAAAAAGAACAGATGCTACACTTGATCTTAGCCAAAAGCCCGAGAAGCGATAGATGCAAAATCCCACCACCACCCCCTCCTCATCTTTCAAATAACTTCTTAAAAAGATTTATTTCTTTTTATCGCAAAGTCAGATATAAAGAGAGGAGGAGAGACAGAAGGGAAAATCTTCCATCTGATGATTCACTCCCCAAGGGGCCACAGAGCTGAGCCTAATCGAAGCCAGGAGCCCAGAACCTCTTCTGGGTCTCCCATTTGGGTGCAGGGTCCCAAGACTTTAGGCTATCCTCGACTGTTTTCCCAGGCCACAGCAGGGAGCTGGATGGGAAGTGGGGCCGCTGGGATTAGAACCGGTGCCCATATGGGATCCTGGCGTGTACAAAGTGAAGACTTTAGTTTCTAGGCTACTGCGCCAGGCTCTCAAATAATTTTTTTTAAAAGAACAATAAAATGAAACTGTAGGTATGCAAAAGAGCAGTACAAATGTCACAGCCACCAAAGTTGACGTTCCAGGAGGCATATGGTAGCCAGGCTCAACTGCCAAGTGGCTTTGGTTTTCTGAGACAGTGAATAAGGGAGAACCTGAGACAAAGAAGTCTGTGCTGTTGTCACCGCACAGTGGCAGCTGCGCGTTTAGAACACATTGGACTTGTCCAACGGAGTGTGCTTCGCGGCTCTGGTCATCCTAACAGACGCTGGGCTGGCGTCCTGGGCAGCGGGAAGTTTGTGTGGGTGGTTACTGCTTGCTAGAGAACAGCCTTGGCCTTCACCACAAAATGAAGAAGTCCAGTAGAGTCCTCCATTCCTGGTGAGCATCAACAAACACTTTGAATAAACCTGGTCCAACTCCACCGAGTGGACCAGGAGACCTTGCCTATCACACGTCAACTCTGCTTGTTCTCACACTTCTGATGCAAAATGTGCGCACCATCAATTTTAGTTTCATTTTTTAAGATTTATCTTTAAGATGTTTGTTCGAGGGCCCGGCACGGTGGCCTAGTGGCTAAACGCCTTACTTTGAACACCTGGATCCCGTACGGGCCCTGGCGGTGTAGCTGCTGCACCCACTGCCTGCCCCTGAGTGTATTCCAAGTGGTAAGAGGAAACTACAGGAGAGGGGAAACCGCAAGACCTCCCTTCCTGGAAAGCTGGCTCTCGCGTGCACAAGGTGTGAGCGAGGCCGGGAGACCACCAGCAGGCAGGTCTGGCCGAGGTGGAGCAGGTGGTATGGGTGTGGTGAGCCGCTGCAGGGAGGCAGTCAAGAAGAAGGGTTTCCTTCATTATTATTATTATTATTTATTATTTAGATGATGTTTACGTAGTTGATGAGGGAGGGAAGGATCCAGGGCCAGGGAGAAGTGGGTATGATCATTGTTTCCCAACTTCCTATTTCTTCTTCCTATTTCTGGGGGAAGGGAGGAGATGGGGAGAGGCCACACCCAGCTTCCCAGCCGTCCCAGTACCCGAGGATGGGGAAAGGCCACCTGGGTTGGTATCGACCCAGGCTCACAATGTGGCGCATGCCCCAAAGGTTCTGCCCAGGTGGATGTGATAGTTCCGAAATGCTGTCCGTCTCGACGATCTAGGGATGCGGAATCCCTTCCCATGTGCATTGGCTGATCTCAGAGGCAAGGAAGAATTTACAGTGAGCCCTGGGTCTTCCGCTGTGATCTGGGCTTGCAGAGGTGCCCACAGTCTTTTAGGAATGAGGGCGGGGCGGGTGCAATGACTCCGGATGAGGATTTGATACAAGGAAGCTCTCAGCAGGCGGCAGTAACACCTTAGCAAGGAAAGAGAGCCTTTGGGCTGATTCCCCTAGGGTGAGACAAAGCAAATACTAAGGAATTAAGTGCTAGGATTCAAAGGGGCCATAGAGGGCGCTGTGGCAGGGCACTGTCTGTCCTTGAAACAGCAAAACGCAATCAAAGCCTTGGGTTCCGCTGTGTGCTAGTTTGCCATCCTTGCATGAGAGCGTCAGTGTGGCCGCCTGCCTGCCCTCCTCCCACCCACTTCCTCCACCAGGAGATGCTCAGGACCACGCCCTGAGGAGTCCTGCTCCCACGGCTGTAAAGTTACAGTGGGCCTCTCCTATGTCTTCAGTTTTCTGCAATCAACCACAATCTAAGAATACTGAGTGGAAAGTTCCAGAGCTCAGCGAGACATGCTTGACAGTTTGTCACGATTGTTCTGCTGGGTTATGGTTGCTATTATTACCTTGCCGTGCTTAGTTTATATATTAATCTTTGTCAGAGGTAGGTATGTGTCTAAGAAAACACTGTTGACTAACTGTGGGCTCGGGATGTTCTGTGGTTTCCAGTATCCAAGTGGGAATGTAGTCTTAAGGGGGGGCGACTAAATTCCTCTTGTGGGAGGGGAGAGGGGCCTTCCCTGCACTCTTCCGATCCCGCGCCACCCCACCCCTGCAGAACCTGGGGCCCTGCCCTGCTTCAGGATGCAGACCTAGGCCACAGTCAGATGCTCCCTGAGCCAGCAGAGTGCCTGGAGGTCGGGGTCTGCTCCCCAAGTCAGGGGCAGTGCCTCCGAAGGGCACCTGCTGCACTGCCGGCCCCCAGGCCCCGCCCCCAGCACCTGCCCAGCACACCCCACCCCCTCTTGGTTGTCCACACTCAGGTCCGAGCAGGCGTGCCCTTTCCTTTGGCATGCAGTAGATCCTGCTCCCTCCATGTTTCTTGTTTTCTCACAGGCACGAAGACGAGAACTCGAACTAGGACCAGCTGGGTGGTCTCTGTCTGGGCCCAGCCGTGGCTCTCAGGCAACCCAACAAAGCTTGGGAGACCCGTGTCACCACCAGGTGCCTCCATTCCAGGAACTGAGTTCCATTTATCCTTTCAGGATCTGCCGGTTGGGGGCGAGGAGGTGACCTCCAGTGAGGCACAACCTTGGGGGTCCAGCACCAACCATTGGGATCCCATATGAGTGTTGGTTCCTATCTGGGCTGTTCCACTTCCCATCCAGCCCCCCTGCTTGTGGCCTGGGAAAGCAGTCGAGGACGGCCCAAAGCCTTGGGACCCTGCACCCGGGTGGGAGACCCAGAGGAGGCTCCTGGCTTCAGATTGGCTCAGCTCCAGCTGTTGTGGCCATTTGGGGAGTGAACCAGTGAATGGGAGATTTTTCTGTGTAAATCTGCCTTTCCAATAAAAATTAAAAAAAAATCTTTTAAAAGATTCTGAATTCTACACAAATGTATTCCATCTTCCTAGTTATGTTTGGCAATTAACTTCTTTGAAGATGCACATGGGAGACTTGTCTTGGGGTGCAGTCACTTGAGGTGCCCTTATCCGTCCCAGCCACCCCTACCTCTGACCTGGCTTCTGACCAAGGCACCGGGAACGCAGTGGATGGAAGTCTTGTGGGCGCCTGCCACTCCCGTGGGAGACCTGGGTGAAATTCTTGGCTCTGCCTGAGTTGTGGTGGACGTTGGAGAGAGGGAGGGGAGAGTCAACAAGAGGGTGGGAGGTCTCTCCCTCCCCACCACCCAACATTTCTGAGTACAGACAGTAATGAAACGTGGGTGTGGTAGGCAAATTTTATTTTGCATTACATTTCTAAAAATCCAGTCGCAGTTGGTGTAGGTCCTCCTTCCAGCCATCCTACCAGCCGCTGGAGAGGCATTTCAGCGCGACCAACCTTTTCCTCACATCACCAAGGCACCCCTTTGGGATCGGATGTGCTGACTGCTACCTGGAGGTAGGTCACTTCTCGCCATTGCCGTGGGAAGGAGCTGTCCCAGATTTCAACTCCCGAGGCCCTCGGGGTCCCTGGGGCGGCGGGCGTGGGAGGGGCCGCCCCGGGTCCCGCCCCGTCTCTTGTGACGTAGCACCGGAACCTGGAATCCCGGCTCCGCGAGGGGAGGCGGGGAGGCGACGGCGGCGCGTGTGCCTAGTGGCCTCTCGGGGCAGGCGCGGGGCGCAGCCGTGAGCGAGTCTGGAGCCAGTGCGCTCCCGCTGGGCAGGCCCGGCCGACGGCGAGCGTCCACCAAGGTAGGACGGCGGCGAGGGCGCACGGTGGCCGGGGCGCACGGCGGGCACCAGGTGCCCGAGGCTGGGAGCGGCCGCGGTGCCTTCCCGGCTCCGCGTGCCCCAGGGCAGAGCAGGTGGGGGGAGCGCGCTCCTGGTGCTTCCTGCCTTCCCTCTCTGTCCATCCCTGCCGGTCCAGAGGAAGCCTGCCCTAACCCCCAGAGGGGCTCCAGCATGGCAACCCGGGCCGAGGTGGGTTTGCCTGACAGGGCACAGGCGAGGATTCCTCGGGCAGCCGCTTAAACAATGTTGTGTGTTAGGAGATAGCGCCGCTCCAGCGCTAGGCTTGCGTGAGGCGTGCCTCCCGTTCTCCGCAGGCTGTATTTACCAGCATGCCGAAATGAAGCCGGCTTCTGTTTTGATAAGCTAAGCGGCCCGGCCTTTCGGAGCCTGGGATTCTTCAGGAGTAACATGGGGATAGGCTGGTGGTGAGGTCAGCCTAGCGCGGTGCCAAGTTCAAAGAGAGGCACAGTCGGTGGTAGCCTGTGGCAGGCCTTCGGGCGTTGTGGCTGAGCTCAGATCCTGTGTGCGCGGTGGTGCTGGAATAGAGGCTCTGGTTCCGCGTGCGGGAGCAGCAGGTGACACGGCTTGGGTTGTTGGGTCCTGCCACCCATGTGGGAGACCTGGACTGAGTTCCCTGCTCCTTTGGGGAGCGTTTGAGAAGTGAACCAAAGTATGGGGGTTTCCTTGTTTCCAAGTATATTGCTATCCTTTTAATTGTTTTAATTGGGTAAAACCCAGAAAAAACACCAGCATGGATTTTTACCTGGATAGGTACAGCCGTTACCCAGTCCGGAGAGAGAAACTGCACCTGCTGTTTTCCCTTGGCAACGCCCCATCGCCTGACCCGGACACAGGCCATGCTGCCCAGGGTTGTCTGCGGCATTTTCTCCATCTCAGAACAGAAATGTTAACTGAACCAAGAATTTTGAGTGAATCTTGTATTTACTCTTGTATCTACCCGTCCCTGCCCCCTGGTGTGTAAATGGGGAAAGACTGGAAGGGACCCCCAAATTCCAGCCAAATGCTCAGGAACCAGAGAACAGACCCCCAAGTGGGGCTCGCAGTGGCGGCCGTCCAGCTCAGTGTTTGCGCTGCTGGCGACTGGTCCTGCTGCGGGCACAAAAGATGATTTTTTGACCTTGAACCCTGGATGGGAGGCTTAGCAGGGACTGTGATTGTCACTTTGTGTCCACGGTCGCTGCCCAGTGTGGACATCATGGGAGGAAGGTTGGGTAGGGGCAAGGGACCAAGAGGGTGTGGCTCTAAGGATGGAACCGTCTGTCTGATGAAACAGGTCACTCCCGGCTTCATCTGAACTTTGTAATGGCTTCTCAAAGTTCTAGAATCTTCCCTGGCAACTGACAAGGCCTGATGCTTCAACCCCAGCCAGCATGTTAAAGCCATTATCACTTAGCACCCCTCCCCTGCCCCGGCTGTCTTCCCATCCTTCCATATACTCAGCTGCTATTTTTGCTTGGCTTGTGATTGTCACTCAGTGCCAAAGGCAACCTCTTCTCCCTCCTCCTCCTCTCCTCCCCTGGGTCTCTGCTCCCATGCTGTCACCGCCCCCTCTCTCCTGAGAAGCACACACATCTGGGACTGTCTTCTGTCGGGAGCTGTACCAGGACTTGAGCCCAGAGCCACATGCGGGTGTCTGAGCCCAGGGTGCACCGAGGCTCCTTTGTGGTTTGCAATTCCCATCGGTGCCCCCTTCCTGAGGCCAGCCCTGCTCGCTTCTGCTGCCTGGACTGTCGCCTCCTCCAGGGGGCTGAGACCTCACCCTGTCCGCTGTCCTTGACAGCTACCCTGCCCATGGCACCTGAACCATTTCCAGGGTTCCCCTCCCTCAATGGAATGCTTCCTGGGAGGTCATCTGCAGCCGCTGTGCCTTCAGTGTCAGCTCTTACCCTCCTACCCTCCCTTCCATCTCTTCCTTCCTGTCTTTTATGGAGGTATGATTCACATCAACCATTTCAGAGTGTCCAATTCCATGGCCTTTAGGATCTTCAGCCTCCACCTCTGGATAGTTCCAGAACATCTTCCTGTCCATCAGCCTCTACCCAGCCACCTCGTGCTCTCCGTCCGCGGGGATGTGCCTGCTGTGGATGTCTGAGAGGAAGCTCTGACTTGGTGCACTTAGCACTGTTTTCCAGGCTCGAGTGTAGCAACAGGTGTTAGTGCTACCTGCCTGGACGTGGCTTCCACATCGCCGGGGCTGCTTCTGCCTGCTTGGGGCTCCCGTGAACGGGGCTCCTGGGAACACTCTTCTGCACATTTTTGCTTGACTGACAACGTTCAGTTCTTTTCTGCGCATGGAGTGGGATTGTTGGCCAACAGACAGGTCTGTCCAACTACGCAGTGAGGCAGTGACATCACCACCTCACCTCCCTGGGAAGGCATCCTTCCCTGCTCCCTGAACGGGGCAGCATCCTCCCTGAGGTGGGGTCTTCATGCTCGACCCTTGGCCAAAGGAAGTCACAGAGTTTTCCTGGCTACAGCTCTGACACGGAGAGGCAGCAAAATGTCTGAAGGATGTTTTCAGGGACGAGTGGTTGTAGTTTAAGCAGGTGGGACAGGGACAGGAGGCATCAGTGAGAACTGGTTTTGGAGGGCTGCTTCAGAGACCCAAAGTGCTGTACTTTGGGGTATCATCTTCTGAGTCCTGGCCGTCCTGTTATTACTGGAAATCTCTATAACCCTAACCAGCTAAGGTTTGATGAATGTATGTGTGCTGTGCTCTCTGGGGACACACGGTTGGGTGTTAACAGCTCTGCTTTGGGCCCCTCTTGGTCTCATCCCTTATTTATTTATAAGATTTTATTTTTATTGAAATGATTTACAAAGAGGAGAGACAGAAAGATTTTCTATTTGCTTATTCACTCCCCGTATGGCCACAACAACCAAAGTTGCTATCTGGAGCCAGGAGCCGGGAACGTCTTCCAGGTCTCTCACACGGGTGCAAAGTCCCAAGGCTTTGGACCGTCCTCGACTGCTTTCCCAGGCCACAAGCAGGGGGCTGGATGGGAAGTGCAGCTGTCGGGATATGAACTGGCACCCATATGGGATCCCTGGGCGTTCAAGGCTAGGACTTTAGCTGCTAGGCCACGCCGCTGGGCCTCTTAAATAATCTTTATTAGAAAAAAAAAAAGAAGGTGGGGGCGGGGGCCAGGGCCAGCACTGTAGCCTAATGGCTGAAGTCCTGCCTTGTATGCACCAGGATCCCACATGGATGCCAGTTTGTGTCTCAGTTGCTCCAGTTCCCATCCAGCTCCTTGTTTGTGGCCTAGGAAAGCAGTAAAAGATGGCCCAAAGCCTTGGGAGCCTGCACCATGTGGGAGATCCAAAAGAAACTCCTGGGCCAGGATTGGCTCAGCTCCAGGTTGTGACCACTTGGGAAGTGAATCAGTGCATGGAAGATTTTTTTTTTCCTCTATCTGTCCTTCTCTTCGTAAATCTGCCTTTCCAATAAAAATAAACAAAGCTTTAAAAGAAAAAGGAAAAAGAAAGAAAAATGCATATCATGAAACAAAATAATACTTGGATTTCCAAAACTTTTTTTTGTACCAAAATACACCTGTCTTAGTTACTTTTTTGCCCTGAGTTTGTTGATGTACACTCCGTGATAGCCACCTAATCTTCAAAGCAGTTCTGTGACCTGGGAATTGTTGTACCCATTTTGCAAGTGGGAATCCCAAGGCACACAGAACAATCAAGAAACTAGCTGCCCTGGGTTGAAAGTCAGCTGAGGCCCAAAGCTCCCAAAGGTTGGCCACTCCTTGGGTCCTAAAGCGTGGGTGCCAGCTGGCCAGGCCCAGGCCCCACCCAGGTGCCCACTGGCATAACTCAACACAGGTGCTGCCAGCTGTTGTGAAGTCTGGCAAACGGAGGTGGCACCCAGGGTGTCTGGCTCCTCCCCTGGCAGACCAGGCTATGGGCGTTTAGGAAGGAGCCCTTTCCCTTGCACTGTCCCACACAACAGCCACAAATGAGCCGTGTGTGTCCGTGGAGTTCATTCCCTCATGGTTCAGTTGTGTGAGAGTCAGCACCCCCCGCCCCTTGGATGGAGTGGGCTCCCCTTATTGGGCAGCCCAGACATAGTGTGTCCTTCCATGCAGAAGGGCAGGGCATTCCACAGAGGGTGCCCTGGCTTGGATGGGCGGCTGCTGCCCTGTGTATCTTAGAGACGGACGTAGCCAGCGGGATCCCAGGAACCCTGGATTCTGTCATCACTCCGCTGCCATCATCCACCTTCTCCAGTGAAAGTCAGTGTTACCATTGCCTGCAATCCCTGTGTTTTTTTTTTTTAAAGATTTATTTTTATTATTTTTTCATTGGAAAGGCGGATATACAGAGAGGAGAGACAGAGAGGAAGATCTTCCGTCCGATGATTCACTCCCCAAGTGAGCGCAACGGGCCGATACTATGCCGATCCGAAGCCAGGAGCCTCTTCCGGGTCTCCCACGCGGGTGCAGGTTCCCAAAGCTTTGGGCCGTCCTTGACTGCCTTCCCGGGCCACAGGCAGGGAGCTGGAAGGGAAGCGGGGCTGCCGGGATTAGAACCGGCACCCATATGGG